GGACTGAACCTCTGAATCTTTATGGGAGCAGACAAGTTGCCCATCCCTGTCTACCCTATGTATTGAGGGGGGTGGGAATGATCCTCGCTGTAAAGATTTGTTCCCTCTTTTGAGCTACTGCATCCATAGGTATAGGTCAGGTTCATCATACTGGATCAGATTACTCTTTTTTTTCTTCTTCTAGTTGAGCTCCGATCATTCAGCCATTGAAGCCAGGTCAAGTGGGTATTGTCTGTAAGTGTGGGTGTTGTGTATATGCCCTCTCTTTGTATCATCTGGATGCTTCACTTTCCACTCTAGTCCTCTGTGGCTCTGTCCCTGACTCTGGAACCAGGAGTCCCCAGGTCTTGCTAAACTGCTGGCCAAAGAGGTCTCCACCCGGGTTCATAGGAGTGTATTGAACGTGGTTGGACTTAGCTCGCAGTTTCATTGCTGTTTTTCCCTTACTTCCCCTTATCCATGACAAACGTGGTCACCAATCACACCATGCATTCCTATTGAGTCTTAGTCTTAGAAGGAGGTGTGCCCTGAGGGGACCCTTGGTGTCTCCTGGGCGAGCCACTTGTTTGTTCTTGTAGTGATCAGTCGGTCTGCCTATATTGTTTTGTATTTTTCCTGTCAGTCTTTTCTTTCAAGAAGTATCGTCTGTTCTTCTGGCTGCTCCAGGATGGTCTGCTTGTCCTTTCAAGTGGAAATTTCCCACCTAAGAAGATTCTGGATGCTATTTAGGATTCCACCTATGGTCTTATGTAATGCAGAGGCTCCCCAGGAAGCCTCCTTAACTGGGCACGTGGTAGCCCCATTTTAGGTATTCCAATCAGTTATAGACAGAAGATGGACTTACAAGCTTTCTATGGTGGTATTTCTGGCTATTTCTTTCTCTCCCCCTCAAGTGTCTTATGTTATAATGGTATACAAGGAAAACCAAGATCAAAAGACAGCCAAGCATCTTAACATTATTTCCCCCCTATTCCCTTGCTTTTTTAAGAATTTTTTTCATTCCTTTAAGTATTTTTATTATAAATACTTGTTCTTGTTGAGATCCATTTTTGTGTTCTAATTATATAGCTAAGGATTTTCTTGTGACCTCATAAACAAAATTTGTTCTCTGCTTTTAAGTTTTTTAATGTTAAGACTTTAGGAAAAAATAATTCTTTATGTATTGGAGTCCTGGTGTGGCACTATAGTATAAGCAACTACTAACTGCAAGGTTGACAGTTCAGACCTACCGTCTGCCAACTGGAAACCCTATACATGGTCACTGTAAGTTGTAGCCGACTGACGGTATTTAGCAACAACAACAAAATTCTGTATATATTAAGCAAGTTTAAAGTAAAAACAAACTTTTATTTGTTGACGGTATTACTTAGTTAAGCATTGCCACAGCCCTATGAATTAGCAATTGTAACTGTTTCACAAGAGAAAAATGAAACTCAGAAAGACTCATTTATATAAGATGACATAGCTAGTAACTTGCACTTCCCTCCATAAAAATTAATCTAACATTGCAAGAAAGTGCCTCTTCTCCACCACCATCATCTCTCTCTTAATTTTGGTTCCTGTGACCAAGACTGAGTATGGTTAGTGAGTTTTTAGGTGTGTCTGTGAAGTCTCACTTTGCACTACAAATCATACTGTAATAATATGGGGGCACTGAGTGATCCACATCTCCTGTAACAACTGGCACAGCACCTCAAGACCTGGGGCAAGAGAAAGTCCTACCACAAGAAGCAGAACTATGAACTGTGATGCCCAGCTGCCAACACTAAGATCAGTCCCTGTGTCAATACAGTTCATGTGAGAGGAGGCAACAAGAACTACCAGGACCTAAGGCTGAACATGGGGAACTTCTCATGTGGCTCTGAATGTTATACTCACAAAACAAGGATCATCTATGTTGTGTACAATGCATTCAATAATGAGCTGACCCAAACCAAGATCATGGTGCAGAACTACATTGTTCTCATTGATAGCACACCATGCTGGCAGTCTATAAGTCTCACTGTGCACATTGCCTCTTGTCCACAAGAAGGAAGCCAAATTGACTCCTAACAAGAAAGAGATATTAAAAACTGATCAAAGGAAGTTCAGAAAAAAATATGATGAAAGGAAAAAGAAGGCAAAAATCAGCAATCTTCTGGGGGAGCAGTTCCAGTAGGGCAAGTTTCTTACGTGTATCAAATCACTTTGAGACCAGCTCAAGGTGACTGAACAAATTGCTGTGTGCTAGAGGACAAGGATTTGGAGTTCTGTCTGAGGAAAATCATAACCAGAAAGGCAAATAAATCATCCCTCCCTCCCATCCTAGCACATGTGTAATTAAGATATTTATTCTAACCAAAATTAAAGAATAATATGGAGGTGATGGCCCCATTGTCCATGGAAATGCATTACATATGTTGATGCATCCTTTGCAGCTCGTAAAAGGAAACAAAAGCAGGTTCGATTCATAATAGGTATGTTATCTTTGTGCACAGTGTCTCCTGCTATTTGTTAGGAGATTTGATGAGTATAAAATGTTATACTGTTAAGAGATTTGATGAAAATAAAATGTAGTTTTCTTATTCAGTCGTGATTTTATTTATACTGCTAAGGAGCTCTGGTAGCGTAGTGGTTACGAATCGGGCTGCGAACCTTAAGGTCAGCGGTTCGAAACTACCAGCCACTCCGCGGGAGAAAGATGAGGCTTTCTACTCCCGTAAAGATTTACACCCTCGGAAACCCTGTACAGGGTCGCTATGGGTCGGACCCGACTCAACGGCACTTAACAACAACAACAATCCTATAGTTACAGAATTTTGTAAAGTAGTATTTTTTAATTTATGTAAAAATAACCTCTGATTATTTTGGTTGTATAGATTTGGTGCTTTTATAAATGTAGGAGCCTTCTGTGAGAGCATAGTTCTAAGCATTAATGTAATTATGTAGAACATACTTTATTTATCTCTCTAGTGTGAGTTTTTTGTGTCATTTAAGACGTAATATTTTCTTTTCATTCTAGAAACATATGCCTGTGGGATACTCTCGTTGCACCTGCCAACAGTTTAGTCCATGGTAAGATTGAAAAGCTTTCCATAAATTTTATAAGGCAAACAAATCATACATCAAATTGATGCTTAAATGGATGTTTTTAGGCTGGTTAGGTATTTAATATATTAATTTCTTTGTTGAGGTAAAAAATACACGCAAAACGTTTTCCATCTTAACTATTTTTAAGTGTACAAATTCATTGACCTTAATTAAATTCAGTGTGTAGTTCAGCCATCACCAGTAACCATTTCCAAATGTTTTCCTCTTCCCAAACAGAAATTCAGTACACTTTAAGTAACAACTCCGCATTTAATTTTTCCCTTAATTCCTCATAACCACTAATACTCTTCTTTCTCTATGTATTTGTCTTATTTGAGATATGTCATATAAGTGGAATTTTACACTATTTGTCCTTTTATGTCTGACTTATTTCATATAGAATGCTCTTTTAAGGGTTCATCATGCCAGTAATTCATCAAATGTTATCAGTAACTCATTTCTCTTTATTGCTAAATAATATCCCATTGTTTGTATATTGTTGTTGTTGTTAAGTACCGTGGAGTCGGTTCCAACTCATAGTGACCCTGCACAGGGTTTCCGAGGCTGTAAATCTTTACGGGAGCAGAACGCCTCATCTTTCTCCCGCGGAACTGCTGGTAGTTTCGAACTGCCGACCTTGAGGTTAGCATATATCATCTTTTATTTGTCCATTCATCTGTTGATGGGCACTTGAGTTGTTTCCGCCTTTTGTCTTTTGCAAATAATGCTGCAGCGAACATTAGTGTACAGATATCTGTTTGAGTACCTGTTTTCAAATCATTGAGGTTAAGAGTAGAATTTCTGGGTCACATGATGAAATCTTATCCTACAACCTTGCTTGTTGGAAGCAAAGAACACTTGAAATAATTGCTGATGAAGATCAAAGACTAGCCTTCAATATGTATTGCACCTCAATGTAAAGAAGTTGAAAATCCTTACAACTGCACCAATAAATAATATCATGATAAATGCAGAAAAGATTAAAGTTATCAAGGATTTCAATTTGCTTACATCCATATCAGTGCTCTTGGAAGCAGCAGTAAAGATATCAAACAATGTGTTGCATTAGCCAAATCTGCTGCAAAAGACCTCTTTAGAGTATTAAAGAGCAAAGAAGTCAGTTTGAGGATTAAAGTGCACCTGACCCAAGCCATGATATATTCAGTTGCTTCATTAGCATATGAAAACTGGACAATGAATAAGAAAGACCTTACTTAGAAAAATTGATGCATTTGAATTATGGTGTTGATGAAGAATATCAAAAGTATCATAGTCTGCCAGAAGAACAAACAAATCTATCTTGGGTTACAGCCAGAATGCTCCTTATAAGCAAGAATGACAAGGGATCAGCCCCTGGAGAAGCATATCATGCTTGACAAAGTGGAGAGTCAGCAAAAAGGCAGAAGACACCCAATGAGATAGATTGACACATCAACAGCAACAATGGGCTCAAATAGAACAATTGTGAGGATGGTGCAGGACCAAGCAACATTTTGTTCTGTTGTAGATACGGTCACTATGAGTCAAAATCAACTCAGCAGCACCTATCAGCAATAACATGTAAAAGTATATATTTAAGTTGTTTGAGGAACAATTTTTTATAGCAGGCAATGGATGAGGTTTCAATTTCTTCACATGTATCAGAACACCCCCCCATTTTTATGATAATAACTAGCCTAATGAGTGCCAAGTGGTGTCTCTCTGTGGTTTTGATTGGTAACTAATGACTTTGAACCTCTTTTCATGTGCATATAGGTGATTTGTATATTTTCTTTGGAGAAATGTTTATTCAACTCCATTGCCCAGTTTTTGATGGGGTTGATAGTCTTTTTTTGTTGGAGTTCTTTATATATTCTGGATATTAATCTCTTTTCTGGTATATAGTTACTTGGCTCAATTTGGGTCTTCTCTTCTTTTTTCAACATTGCAAGGTATGAGTATTCCAGAACAACTTAATTGTGCTCATTAGAAATCTGTACATGGACCAAGAGGCAGTTGTTCAAACAGAACACGGAAACAATGAATAGTTTAAAATTAAGAAAGGTTTTCGACAGGGTTGTATCCTTTCACCATACTTTTTCAAACTGTATGCTGAGCAAATAGCAACAGAGAAAAGTTAAACAGTGATGTCACTTCATTCTTCTTGGATCAACTATCAACACTCATGTAAGCACAGTCACGAAATCAAATGACGTATTGCAATAGGCAAAGTTGAAGAGTAAAGATGTCAGCTTGAGGACTAAGATGCACCTGACACAAGCCATGGTATTTTCAATAACCTCATATGCATGCGAAAACAGGACAGTGAATAAGGAAGACCGTAGAATTGATGCTTTTCAGTCCTGGTGTTGGAGGAGAATATTGAAAGTGCCATGGGCTGCCAAAAGAACCAACAGATCTGTGTTGGATGAAGTACAACCAGAGTGCTCCTTGGAGGCCAGGATGGCCAAACTTCATCTCTCATACTTCGGGCATATTGTCAGGAGGGACCAGTCACTGGAGAAGGATACCATGTTTGGTAAGGTGGCGGGTTGGAAAAAAAGAGGTAGACCTCCAGCGAGATGGATTGGAAAACAGGCAGCATCAGTGGGTTCAAGCATGGCAACAATTGTGTGGTTGGCCCAGGACTGGGTAACGTTTTGTTCTGTTGTGCATAGGGTTGCTAAGAGTCAGTACTAACTCAATGGCACCTAACAACAACAACAACTTCCTTGTGCCAGGCCCATAAAGGCTGTCTAGTAAGTAAGCTAGCGCAATCTTAGGGGTTAATCTAGTTTATTCTCCATCTCTCTGGGGTTGTTGTTCTTCATTGACTGCTGTCCATTGTCAAATAATTTGGAAATTTCATTGTTTCTAGGAGGAAAATAAATGTGGTCTATTATTCCATCTGGACTAGAAGTAAGAAATCTGGTTGTTGTGTGTTTTTTTTTTTTTTCTTTTATATTGCTAAATGGTTTCTTTTATTTTCTGTACTTTCAGCTTTCCCCTGCCATGATAGTGGAGCCACAGTATTAGCATATGCCCCAAAACATCAGCTGTTGATATCAGGTGGCAGAAAAGGCTTTACATGTGTATTTGATCTTCGCCAGCGACAGCAGAGACAGCTTTTCCAGAGTCATGACTCTCCAGTTAAAGCAATTGCTATTGATCCAACAGAAGAGTATTTTGTTACAGGATCTGCTGAAGGGACTATAAAGGTAAACAGTGATATTACAGTAGCTACAAAATTAAAACAAATCTTCAGAAACCTTGTTGTTAGGTGCCGTGGAGTCGGTTCAGACTCATAGCGACCCTGTACAGGGTTTCCAAGGCTAAATCTTTACAGGAGCAGAAAGCCTCATCTTTTTCCTTGAAACAGCTGGTAGTTTCAAACTGATAATCCTGAGGTTAGCAGCCCGATTCATAAGAACTAAGCTACCAGAGCTCCTTTCAGAAACCTTAGCTCTTCAAATATATTGATGATATTCAACAAGGCCCATATATAGTCCATCTTGTGTTACATAAAATAATATTTACACTTTACGTTTTTCTGTTTTTCAGTTGGTTTCAAATACATTTAATTAATACAAAATAAATTTCAGTGCATCTGTGGCGGCGGTAGTAAGGTTGGCCCAGGATCGGACATTGTTTCCATCTGCTGTGCATGGGGTCGCTATGAGTCGGTGCCGACTTGATGGCACCTGACAATAACAACGAACAGATTTCAGAGTTACAGTAGTCTGTACTTTATATCCATCCTCAGAGTTATACATTTTACTGACTTCAACTTTTGAATGCTAAGAAATACATTGATATTTTCCCTATTCCAAGATTTCTCCTCATCCGTTTATATCATCATCAGTACCTGATTCAAGAATTCTGAATGTACCTTGATAAGCCCTACCTGCTTATATTTTCAGAAACCACTGTGTTTAAAACATTAAACAGCTTGTTAAAAATGTTAGGTCACTTATTAAAGATGCAAATTTCTTGAGTCTCATCCCTAGAATACTGAGTTGGTTTACCTTCTAGACTCAAGAATCTGCAGTTTTATAAGATATACCTAGTGGTTTTGATGGTGGATCTTCTGGCCACATTTAGTAACACCTACTGGAAGACACCCAACAAGATGGATTGGCCAAGTGGCAGCATCAGTCGACTCAAGCATGGCAACAATAGTGAGGTTGGCCCAGGATCAGGCAGTGTTTGGTTCTGCTGTGCATAGGGTCACTATGAGTTGGCACTGACTTGGTGGCACCTAACAACAACTGGGCCTCTGGTAGTGTAGTGGTTACGAATCGGGCCGCAAACCATAAGGTCAGCAGTTAGAAACTATCAGCTGTTCCGTGGGAGAAAGATTAGGCTTTCTACTCCCATAAGGATTTATAGCCTCGGAAAGCCTATACGGTGTCGCTATGAATTGGTTCCGACTCCTTGGCGCATAACCACCACCACCACTGGGATAGAGGTCATTTTCAACTAGTCTCTGTTATTCTAATAGTTAGTACTCCAAGACCGGAGAGGTGTTTTTTTAGAATCTGTTCATTCATTTAATCAATAGTGAGCATGTTGTTGGTGTTAAATGCTATTGAGTCAGTTCTGACTCATGGCGACCCTGTATAGGGTTTCCGAGAAGTAGCTGGTGAGGTTGAACCGCTGACTTTGTGGTTCAAACCGACCTTACAGTCCAGTGCTTATACTGCAGTACCACACCAGGACTCCAATAGTGAACATATTAGGGCAAATACATTATAATAATTGGTTGATGTAGTTGTTAAGTGCTGTTGAGTTCGTTCCCTGTACAGGGTTTCTGAGGAGCAGCTGTTGAGTTTGAACTGCTGACCTTGTGGTTAGCCATCCAGTGCTTATTCTGCATTACCACAGTAGGACTCCAGTTCTTGGTTAGGATTAGACAAATTGTTTCTGTAATTCTCAGCCAGAAAAAAAATTTAACTACAATTAGAAAACTTTGAAAATACTTTTTCTATTTGAGACAAGTATATACAATAGCAGCCATAGAATTCAGTTTGAAGATAGTTTGAAGATAGTTTCTTATTTCAGCTACATTTTGTTAGAATAAGTCATGTATGTTTTAGATTAGTTTGTTTTCTAATTCTGAGATTTATTGTTTAATCATGTAAAACATTTTTTGAAAGCATAGTATGTAGAACACAGAAGTCATAATTTAATAAATTTATGTTTTTATAGTACAAATTTATTAGAGTGGACAAAGACTTCGTTTAAAAGTGTGATCTCATAAAAACAAGAAATAAATTGGTTTTCCTGCTCTATAATAGATGTCCTGAAAACATTCAAGTTAAGATTCTAATAATTTATTACAGAAAATAAATCATGATAAAATAAATATTCTGAAGTTATAATACTAGGGTAAGAAATTATCCACACTCCAGTTATATTAAAACACCTGCCCCTGTCTATGGCTGATGACAACATTGATCGTGCATGTGAAATGATTCTGTTGAATAAATCAGTGACAGTAGATTATGTGGCAAATCATTTGCAAATCAGCCATGGCCCTGCCTATGAAATAATCTATGACAGACTTGCTTTTGAAAACTTTGTGTGAGATGGGTGCTGAAAAAAACTCACAGAATTTCATAAACACAAACATCTACAAACAAAATTTGGACTGATACTGAAAGGAAGCGAAAAGTTTCTTTTTTAAAAAGTCATTACTAGTCAGAGCCAGGGAATCGTTGCCAGGTCTGCTCTTGGTCCATGCCACTCACCCAGCGTCCACTACTACTGCTGCAGCCATGAGAGTGCAAGTGGAGACATCTCCCCCAGAGTCAGGAGCACCTGCCCGAAGCGCAGCCAGAACTGCGAGGTACATTACACGGGGATGCTTGAAGATGGAAAGAAATTTTATTCCTTCCAGGATAGAAACAAGCCCATTACGTTTATGCTAGGCAAGCAGGAGGTAATCCAAGGCTGGGGATGAAAGGTTGCCCATATGAGTATGGGTTAGAGAGCCAAACTTGCCATCTCCCCAGACTATGCCTACGGTACCACTGGGCACCCAGGTCTCATCCCACCAAACACCACTCTCGTCTTTGATGTGGATCTTCTAAAACTGGAATGACAAGAATGGCCTCCCCTAGCTTCCTATTCTTGGATCTGCCACAGAGGGATCTAGCACCTCCAGACTTGCACACATGACTCCATATGGAGCTTTCTCCGACATTCACTCGTTCTGTCACTCAGCTTTGCTTCTGACACCTCTGTTTCCTCTTCCCCTTTCTCCTCATATGTATGGTGACTAAAACTATATGCCATCCACCTCAAATTACTCATTCTGTTTCGTTCTGATTTGGGGGGTGAAGATTCAGTTTCAGTCTTTTGGATCTAAGTTTCCCATTAAGCATATGAGCCAGTATTAACAGCACAATGGGTGAACTTTAGAATAGGAATTGGTTTGGGATGGGAGAAGGGTACAAGAAAGTTTATTTTATATTTTTGGATGAAATTTTTATTATGTATTAAACATTCGTGCTGCCGTGCTACACAAAGCCATAGGAGATGTGAGGCATTGAAGGCTGAATTTTTCTCCAAGTTGAGAAATGTCCTTGTGTTGAATTCAAATGTCCCAAACTGAAGTGGAGAAGTGGAACACCTTTGTCTCTCCTGGCCCACTCACCTTCCCCTTAAATCCTGCCTTTTGAAAGCAGATAGTTTCCACTGTGGTATTGGGCGCTACAGATATCTGTCCCTGGGCCAGCAGGGACCTTGGAAGCCTTTGTGGCCTGGTTTGCCTTTTTTTTTTTTTTGCCATCCTATGGTTTTTCTAACAGATTTTCAGGATTTTTATAATTCCATAATTACCAAAACTCCACCACTTCCTAAATTTTAAGATCTTTAATTGAAAGCTTAAATTGAAGGTGCTGTTTGTAGACATTTAACACCCAGTGAAAGCCCAGCCATCATGTCAAATCCTTGAGTGTTCTCTAAGAAAATGATGCTGGTTATTGCAGCTTTAGCATCTGTTTTTTGATGCTCAGCTCCCCCTACTGATCTCAAAGGTTTCCTGGCTTTTTCCTTCCCCCTCTCATCCCTTTGTTGTCCTGTGTAGTGATTTGGTGAGAGAAGTTGTTGCTGCCCCATTCATGAATTTCAAGTTTTATTATTGCAATACAAGTGCTGGTTTTTCTGGAAAAAATAAAAAATCATTACTAGTAACAAAATATGGATTCATCACTATGAGCCTGAGCATAAATGGCAGAGTTTGGAATGGAAACATCCTCAGTCTCCATCCAAGAAAAGTTCAAAAGTCAACCATCAAGCTAGAAAGTTCGTTTTCTGGTGTTCTCAAGGGCCAGTGTTGGAACGCTATCAGGAAAAGGGTTCAGCAATCAACAGTGTTAGTGACAATGAGCTAGGTGCTCACTGAAGAGCTGAAGCCTAAACTTTGTTTTAAATGCAGAGGACTGCAATCCGAGGGTATTGTCATCTTGTGTGACATCTTGTCTGCACACCTATGCCCATACTGTTGAAACTCTGCAAAAACTTCACTTTGAGGTGTTAAATCAACCTACATATAGTCCTGATCTTGTTCCATCATATTTTCACCTCTTTGGTCCCCTGAAGGCAGCCCTTCAAGGACAAAGATTCACTGCTGATGAAGACGTGGATCTTGCAGCTCAGCCTAAAATATTTTTTCATAAGAGAATAGGAAAGCTTGTTGACAGATGGACAAAGTGTATTGAAAAGCAAGGAGATTATGTTGAAAAATTATTTGTCTTTTCTAAAAGTTGATTAAATTCTGTCACCACAGTGTGAATAATTTTTGACTCACCCATGTAATTACCTTTACCTTGTAGTTGGAATATAGCTTTGCTTAGTGTTAGAGCCTTTCTAGGTGTTAGTTACTTCCTTCTTTCCAGCTGTTCTGAGTCTTTGGTGGGTATTTTGATATTGTGAAGAAGAAATTACCCCATGGTACAACTGCAGTAGTTAAAGCTATCCTGAGAGATAGGAAACTTGGATTTTAGTTCCCATAATATTATAAGTTTTTATAGTACTATACACTTAACCTCTGTGTATCTTAGTTTATTTAATCTCATCTCCAATTTGAGGTTTATAATATCGTCTCCTTTTACTGGATATGTTTTAAGAATTTAATGATAATGAGACCCATCCAGAAACGTTTTGAGTTGGGACGTTCCCAGTTGAAAGGACAAGCAGACCAGCCTGGAACAGCTAGAGGAACAGAAGATATTTCTTAAAAGAAAAACCAGCAGGAAAAATACAAAACAAAAATGACAGTATGATTGGCTACTACAAGACCAAGCTAGTTGTTTGCCAAGGAGCCATCAAGGCAAGCAATCAACTCCCTTCAGGACAAACCCCCCTCCAAGACTGAAACTCAAAAGGACCACATCAGCTAGAGGAACAGAAGATATTTCTTAAAAGAAAAACCAGCAGGAAAAATACAAAACAAAAATGACAGTATGATTGGCTACTACAAGACCAAGCAAGTTGTTTGCCAAGGAGCCATCAAGGCAAGCAATCAACTCCCTTCAGGACAAACCCCCCTCCAAGACTGAAACTCAAAAGGACCACATGAGCAGTCATATAAGATTGCTGGTGACCATGTTGTTCTACTGGTGAATGGAAGAGGGGGATAGGCAGCAATGAAGACATGGGCTGAGTTCAACCACGTTCCATAGACTCCCACCAACCTGGAGATAAGAGAGAAAAGAGGGAGGGATTGTTGGTCTGAAGTGTGGTGAGACCTTGGGACTGCTGAGCCCATGGACAAGGGCATAGCCACAGAGGACTAGAGCTGAGAGTGAAGCATCCAGCTGATAGGAAGTGAGGGGAGACACATAAGAATGCCCAAACTTGTAGATAGTTGCCATTTGACCTATCCTCGATGGCTTGATGATCAGAACTTGACTTGGTGATGGTCGACTAGAGGAAGATAAAAAAACAATTTTTGATAAAGGAAACAAGTGAAGTTGCTAAAATTTAATGAACTTGACCTATACTTATGTAGTAGCTCAAAATACCAACAGAGAGGGCAGGAGTCTTCACATCAAGTACCAATCATGTCCCCTTCGTATACAGAGTTGACAGGGACGACTTACTTAGACATTGGCTACTTAAAATGAGGGGGCTATAAAGGCATGAAGTGACTGGCTTATAAATTTTCAAGAAAGAGTTTAGTTTCAGAGTGTGTGGGGGAAGGTAGAATTCCCACTGAGTAGTTCTCATCTTGTCTAGATGGGTCTGATGAAAGGAAATGGGGATAAATTCTTATGATTCAATAGTGAATAATTATGACTAATTGTGACGGTCACAATTGTAAAGGAAGAATTTTGTAACAAAAAGGGTGAAGTAGTTAATCTTACAGTTCAGGAAGAGAAGACCCTAACACCATCAAGGGAAAAGAGCACAAACAGAATGTGGGACCCTATCCAAAGGAATAGTGACACCAGAGATGAGGACGTGGAAAGAGAGAGCAGCTGATGACTCTGGACTCATGGAAAGATAGAGGCTGTGTGTTGGCAGCCAGGAGACAGGCTTGCAGAATGTGCCCTTTGGTTGTTTAAATGATTATATATTCCTGAGTGTTTTTGTGTACATTCCAAATAATAATAATAACAGAGGGAATAGAAGCAGATATTGTTGAATGATAACGCATGGAGATTGTTATCATTGCAATGAAATAATGAGTGTAACATCGATGTTCTCCTGTGTAAACTACTAATCAATTAACAATAAAAACTTAAAAAAAAATTTAATGATAAAAAAGCTGTTTGGAAAATGGGCAGCCCTAAATATAACCAGGAACCTTTGGCAGTGCAGTGATTAAAACGCTTGGCAACTAACTAGATAGATTGGCTATTCAAATCCACCAGCAGTTCCAAAAGGTAAAGATGAGGCAGTCTGCATCTGCAAATACTTACAGCTTTGGAAACCCTGTGGTGCAGTTCTACTCTGTCCTATAGGGGTGCTATGAGTCAGAGTCAACATGAGGGCAATGGGCTTTGGTTTTAATTATCTTTATACACAAAGTGTTACAATCTGCAACCTACAAAAGTTCTTCATATTTGTTTTGGAAATTCCTTATAAGCATAGTGCCAAACCTAAACCATTTGTCCTGGAGTGCATTCTGACTCATGGTGACACTGTGCTCCTTAAGATTTTCAGTAGCTGATTTTCTTGGAAATAGAGGCCTTTCTTCCTCTATAAGATGCTTCTGCATGGATTCAAACTGCCAACCTTTTTTAAGCAGCCAAGGGCTTAGCTCTTTGCACCACCTAGGGACTGCCATCTGCATAGGAAGGTGAAGCTAAAATTTTTGTATATTGTTCTTAATATTTTTCAGATTTGGAGTCTTTCTACCTTTAGTCTTCTTCATACTTTTATCAATGAACATGCTCGGCAGTCCATCTTCAGGAATATTGGAACCGGAGTGATGCAGATTGAAACAGGACCAGCAAATCACATTTTCTCTTGTGGAGCTGATGGAACAATGAAAATGAGAATACTACCAGATCAGTTTAACCCATTAAATGAAGTGTTGAAAAATGATGTAAGATTTATGCTCTAACATTTTGATCATAATATGTATAATTTATTACCTGTGTCATGGCAGTGGACAACAGATATAATATACAGTGATCACACTTAATCAGTGCCACAAATAAGCTAATGCTTACTTGTTTTCATATTTATTTAATAGAGCCTTTGCCCCTGATGCACTGATGCCTTAAAGATTAGCAAGGTCATTCAGAATTATATTGCCTACAGTAAATAAGTATTGCTAATATTAATACATGCAGTATGTTATAGTATGTATTAAAGGAGTTTTGTTTTCTTTTTCTTATTGTTGATCTCTTCTGCAGATATCTCTGCGTGAATTTCCTTCACAGTAAAAATGTTCTTATGTAACAACTGTTGCACAGAATAGTCATTACTTCATTCTCTACACTCTCACTTACTTTATCCAACTTGTACATCCCAGATTCCCCTCCTCTTAATTATGATAGCATGACATATGAGTAAGAATCAGACAAATAATGGCATTTACATTGAAGTTGTCATTGGGACTTCAGTGATAAATGAACCAAATGGCCCATTATGTAAAATATTCATCAGTCCCCTCTCTGGAGCCCAAGTTATATGTAAACATGTGTGTGTCTGTGTATATATGTATATATATCTTGCACACATCTGATTTGAACTTTGTATATATAAAAATCTATATATCTTTTCCTGTGTTTTTGTGCCATAGCAAGTACTGCCACCAGAATAACAACATTTAAAAAATTCTTTTTAGTGTTTTACTTCTTAATTTTGAACTGCAATCCTCATTTGCAAATAAACTTCAGAAAGCCTTTAAAGATTATTATTTTAAAAGGTGCACTGAGTTAAATGAGCTTTAGAAGGCAATAAAGGTTCTTTGTTGGCGTATGTAAGACACTGTAGCATATGTTGACATATGTAAGTTTGAGAATTTGTCAAAGGATTTTTGAACAGCAAACAAATATTTTACTTTATTTCTTATTTTGGGGTGTTTTTAGTCTTAAAATTCTGAAAACCTTATAGCAATGATTTCAGAAACAAATGTGAAAACACTCAAGTAGATAGTATTTACAAATGTAAAATATTCACCAGATCTACCATTAATAGGAAATCAAAACCTATTTTATTATTTTCTGCCAAAATATTTTATTATAAATATGACCAAAATATTAAAAATACAGAATGCTATTAACTTAAAAGTGCTAACCTTATTTCTTTCTGTTTTGTGCTGTAAACTTTTCTGATTCAGAATTATAGAAAACTTGATAAATATTTTATTTTAACCAGTGAGACTGGAAGAAGATGGGACTAAGTGTTTAAGGAAAAATTATATACCACATAGAATAATACTATTTTGTTTATAGGAACTATGAAATAAGACATTTTTGTGTAATAAACCTATGGACAACTATTACCTTGGAATTTAAAGAGTTAAATAAAGCAAAAGAAATGAAGGGCTGGTAAAATGAATTTTGTAATATCCTCAGGATACTTTTATCTTAAAGTATATTGTTAAAGATTTTGTAAATTGTATTTCATAATTTTGAATGTGTTGAGCAAGTTACAGTGGAAACGCTATCACCATGTGGAGGTTTATATGCACGTAATAACTTGTACCATAAATTGTGCAATAACAATATGTGACTATTTTATCAGGAGAAATCTGTGACAGCATTGCAAATAATATTATTTGATGTAGTTAAGGTTAAGTTATCTTTCAGTGTTTTCTTCACGAATCAAGATTTAAAAGCGTTTGCACACTTTTAATGAGGGTAGATAATTTACTATTATGCTTCTGAAAAATCAAAAGAATTATGGATAAACAATTAAGCATTTATTTGAAGGTTTATATGAATAACCATAAATTATGTAAACCCATATGTATTTCCATCCAGAGTCATAAATATTTTAAATAAACAATCATGGAGTGACTTTTTAGCGTACTAGTGTTTTAAGTAATGTTTTTGCCATGTTATTTGATTTTTTAAGTAGTTTACGTACATATCCGCATGCATATATATACATACATACACATACCACTTTAAAAAGGAGAATTTCTGAATAACTTTCTCAAATATTCTGTTCTTCTTTTTCTAAAATCTTTTAACTTTCAAATAGACTGGGAATAAGAATAGTGGGAATATATATGTAAGTTAAAAATGACATGTATATATATATTTTATTTCCATATTAATGGAATAGAGTCATCAAACGTTTTTCAGTTGATTGCACATTTTCTGAGAATGTGGCTTTTAATGAATTAAGCACTCACAACATTATAGGTCTCATTTTCTGAAACATGGCTTTCACTTATGAAGAAAAATGGAGCAATCATATTTGTCCTCCTTTCTTGTCTTTGGTTTGCTTTTGTCCCAAGTTCATTTCCCTTTTTTAAAAAGAGAAATTTCTCATTGGTCTCAACAACTGAGCCACAGTAAAAAATACATGTTTAAAGAACGACATTTACAACCTTAGGGTTGGAATGATCTTGTTAACAGGATTAGAATCACAGACAGACATTTTATTAAGCAAAAAAGTATGTTCATCCTCACTAGTGGTTAAAGGCATGTTAGGTAAAGCAACAATATGTTACTGGTTTTCATCTATCATTCTGTATAATTTGAATCAAGATATACACTCAGACCTTACTGGTAGGACTAAACTGCTACACATCTACTTGGATTTATATTAAAATTGAATACAAATGCCTTTCAGTGTGAAACCTCACTTTTGAGAAGTTATCCTATAAAATTAAAAGCACTTAATTGGATTTGATGTATCCATCTCATGAATGTGGAAATCTCTCATGCTTAGAACATGTTATTAGAAAGGACCAGTCCCTGAAGGAGAACATCATGGTTGGTAAAGTGGAGGATCAGCAAAAAAGAGGAGCCCACCCCCCCCAACGAGATAGATTAGCACAGTGGCAGTAGCAATGGGCTCAAGTGTAACTATTTTGAGAATGACAGAGGACTAGTCAGTGATTTGTTCTGTTGTGCATAGGGTCACTATGAGTCAAACCAACTCGATGGCACCTAACAACAATAACATCACAAAAAGGTAAATTCAGATGTTTATTGATATATCTATGATTCAAAAAAAAAAATTGGAAATTATCTCAGTGTTAATTAGTAAAGGCAAACTTTATCATTTGGAATGGTTAATCTTTTGTTTGTGGATACCATCATGCTAATGCTTTTATGGAATGCTTTTAGTCTCATCTTCTTACATAAGCTGCTAACATTCAATTCATAGTTTTAAATTATATCCAATGAAAATTGCTTTTTCTTGTTTAACCTAACCCTTCTCCCTTTTTCTCCCATTATTTGTATTTTTGCTCACTTCATTTTGCAATAGCATATGACATATACATACTATTCTTACACCTTTATTCCTGTACTAGTTTTTTGTCTTAAATTGACAAATTATATTCTTCATGTGCTAAACAAAATAATATAGTATGCTAGATCATCAAAAGTTTATGGAGAATGAATTAAAAGGTAATGGAATTTTGTCATGAACAGTTTGAAGCCCCTATTTATATATGTATATATGTGCACACAAATGTACACACATTTACATATTTATGCATAAAATTTTATATGTATAGTATATCGTTAATATTGCTAATTGTATTCAAGTTAATTCCAACTCACAGTGACCCTGTATAGCCTTTCCAAGTCTGTGAATCTTTGTGAAAGCAGAAGCATTCATCTTTCTCCCACAGCTGGTGGAATCGAACTGCCACCCTTGTGCTTATCCTATATGTGTGTGTATACATATATATATATATACATATCAACCACTCATCTGTAAAGTGTGTCATACTGTGATGGCTAGTGTGATTCTGAAAGCTATGCCAACAGTATTTTAAAAACCAGCAGGGTCAACCACGGTGGACAGGTTTTAGATGAGCTTCCAGACGAAGACAGACCAAGAAGATGGAGAGACAAACTGCTTCTGAAGATTTAGTCACTGTAAACCTTATGAATAGCAGTGAAACACTAAGCACCAGAATGTTGAATTTTGAAACATGAAGAGCCCCAGGATATTGTCAGACACAGTGCCAGAAGGTGAGCCCTTCAGGTTGGAAGGTACTCAAAATGCAACTGGAGAAGAGCTGTCTCTTCAAAGTAGAGTAGACTGTGATGGCACAAAGGCAATAAAGCCCTTGGGACCTTCATTTGCTGATGGAGGGCAACTCAATGAAGAGAAACAGCTGTAAATATTCAATAATAATCGGATCATGGAATGTATGAAGTATGAGTGTACAAAACTTGGAAATTGTCAAAAATTAAATAGCATAAACATGGATATCCTAGACATTAGGGAGCTGAAGTGGACTGGTATTGGCTATTTTGAATCTGACAATCACATGGCTTACTATGCCGAGAATGACAAAGAGGAATGGTGTCACATTCATCATCAAAAAGAACATTCCATGATCTATCATGAAGTACAATGCTGTCTGTGATAGGATAATATCTGTACACCTACAAGAAAGACCAGTTAATACCACTATTATCCAAATTTATGCACCAACCACTTACACTAGTGATGATGAAATTGAAGAATTCTACCAACTTCTTCGTGCTGTCAAAGTGTATTGAGCATTACTGCTGACTGGAATGCAAAGGTTGGAAACAAAGAGGAAGGATCAGTAGTTAGAAAATAAGGCCTTGGTGATAGAAACAATGCTGGAGATCATATGATAGAATTTTGTAAGACCAATGATTTGTTCATTGCAAATGCCATTTTTAAACAACATGGACCTCACCAAAAGGAATACACAGAAATCAAATCAACTCCATCTGTGGAAAGAGACAGTAGAAAAGCTCCATATCATCAGCCAAAACAAGACCAAAGCAGACTGGAACAGACCATCAATTGATCATATGCAAATTCATGCTGAAGCTGAAGAAAATTAAAAGAAGTCGACAAGAGCCAAAATAATGACCTTGAACACATCCCACCTGAATTGAGAGATCATCTCAAGAACTATTTGATGGATAGGTCATTAAAGAC